ATGACATAGATCTATACAAATATAGGGCCCCTAGGCCTAAGTAACAGAAATATTGATAAAATGTATATATTGCCTGTATTTGATAATTGTATATGAATGGGTTAAAGCCACAACAATTGCCGACCACGAAAATTGCCTGTACGAGCAACGAAAATGGTGAAGTGTGCTGCGTGCTTTAGATGTAGCCTTAAAATTGCCTTAGATGTACGAACCAGCGCATAACGAGGCGAGGGCGGTTACTAAATGTCTAGATACTTTGTGTGAACGCCATCTACATTTTTCTTTATTGCTTCCAGCGGATATCGTGCCACTGAATCTAGCACACAGCACGACTGCCGAGATACAGCTAGGAGGCTACGTCATCCCCGCCGGCACGGATATCCTTGCTAACTTTACGGCCATCCTCAACGACCCGAAACACTTCCCCGAACCGGAGAAGTTCCGCCCGGAGCGCCACCTGGACGAGCGTGGAGACTTTGTGCAGAACGAAGCACTGATTCCGTTCTCTATCGGTAAAATTACTAGCGCTGCCGTTAGCTAGGAGAGGAGAGTGATGTCATATATCAAACGACTGCAGCGGTGGCCGTCGTTAGGGACACCTGTTCGTTTGTTGGTTTGGGAGATGCTGATTGTGCACTAATGACCCATCTTCTGAGAGCAGATTATTATGTTTAACTTCCCCATAGGTTCTTACACTTATTATTTGAAATGCAGTAGCTGAAAACTAAATATTCAGACTTATGTTGCCAAGTGGCACTATTAAACCTACACAGACATGAGCCTCAGCTGTATTCCATTCGATTGTGATCACATCTTTTTACGTATTTGTTATCTTCCTCGTCATTATCGTTTATGAAACGATTTCTCGAAAAAGGCCGCGAATGCATTTTAAGATCACGGAATAACTTGAGCCCTGAACACGAGAATTCGGTGTCACGCCAAGACTACCCCCTCTCTCCACCTGCCAAGCTTTGAAAAAAACCTTCCTGATGATGGCGTTTGTTATTTTGCCGACAGGTCGTCGCGTCTGTCTGGGAGAAGCTCTCGCGAGAGTGGAGCTGTTCATATTCTTCACAGGCATTCTGCAGAACTTTGACATCAGGCTACCAGATGGCGTTACCGATCCGTCTATGGACGGAACCCACGGCTTCATCTGGATGGCAAATCCGTATCTGTTGCATTGCGTCGCACGACAGTAATCCAAAATGATGTCAAAACCTCACGCCGTACGAGTGATAATCTTGTCGCGTGTTATCCCATGTTTTA